GGGGAGATGATGGCAGGGTATAAATAAAGTGTTATTATTATTATTATTATTATGTCCCAATTGAATAGGGCAGAAGTGTGCAAGGGATGCTTCAGTCTTCCTCTTCCGTTGTTGGTCTGGAAAGGGCTCTCCCTATGTTCCTATTTTAATGTTCACTTTCTCTCGCTTCTCATGTAACACTCATGATGCATTGATGGACAGGTTGTGCTCTGCGTCTCCATTATGTAAGTGACAGGAAGCTGTTCCCGGGCCAGGCGAGATCAGGGCTGGGGGGATCAGGTTGTCCTGGCTCGGCTCCCTCTTTGAGTCGGAGGCTCCGACCTCCAGATGGATGGATCGATGACAAGTTCGGCACTCCAAAGTCACCTCGTTTAGCCCAGGAGGATTTGTCTGGAAAAGGGAACTTCTTGTGGCAAAGGTAGAAGACCATCTTGTCACTCAACTGGCACTTTGGGTGCATCTACACTGTAGAATTAATGCAGTTTGACACCACTTTAACCGCCATGCTTCAATGCTATGCAGTCATGGCAGTTGTAGCTTTACGCGGCCTTTAGCTTTCTCTGACAAAGTGGTGCTAAGTAAAGGTAAAGGTTTTCCCCAGACATGTATTGTCGAAAGCTTTCATGGCCGGAATCACTGGGTTGTTGTAGGTTTTTTCAGGCTATATGGCCATGGTCTAGAGCAGTGTTTCTCAACCTGGGGGTCGGGACCCCTGTGGGGGTCGTGAGGGGGTGTCAGAGGGGTCGCCAAAGACAATCAGAAAACATAGTATTTTCTGTTGGTCATGGGGGTTTTGTGTGGAAAGTTTGGTCCAATTCTATCGTTGGTAGGGTTCAGAATGCTATTTCATTGTGGGTGAACTATAAATCCCAACAACTACAACTCCCAAATGGCAAGGTCTATTTGCCCTAAACTCCATCAGTGTTCACATTTGGGCATATTGAGTATTTGTGCCAAGTTTGATCCAGATCCATCATTGCTTGAGTGCACAGTGTTCTCTGGATGTAGGTGAACTACAACTCCAAAAACTCAAGGTCAGTGTCCACCAGACCTTCCCAGTATTTTCTCTTGGTCATGGGAATTCTGTGTGCCATGTTTGATTCAATTCCATCATTGATAGAGTTCAGAAGGCTCTTTGATTTAAGGTGAATTATAAATCCCAGCAACTCCAGCATTACCAAATGACAAAATCAATCTCCCCCAACCCCACCAGTATTCAAATTTTGAGCGTATCGGGTATTTGTGCCAAATTTGGTCCAGTGAATGAAAATACATCTTGCATATCAGATATTTACATTACAATTCATAATAGTATCAAAATTACAATTATGAAGTAGCAACAAAAATAACGTTATGGTTGGGGGTCACCACAACATGAGGACCTGTACTAAGGGGTCGCGGCATTAGGAAAGTTGAGAACCACTGGTCTAGAGCAATGATTGGCAACCTTTTGAGCTTGGTGTGTCAATACTTGCCAAAAAAACAAGCATAACTCGGGTGGGGTGTCACTTCGAGAAAAAAAACCATAATTTCATGATATTTATAGTTTAATAACAAAAATATATTATTGTAATATATAACTGTATTTAATAAACCAAAACTTAATTATTTAACTTACCTGCTTTTTCTACAATGCCATATATCTCGGCATTATAAAAAAATGCTAGTGTAGGAGCCGAGGATGAAATGTCCTTCTTGGGATGTGGCCCTATCTTCTCTGTATGCGGCCACATGTGACTGTGTGTCATCGAAAATGGCTACGCGTGTCAGTGCTGACACACGTCATAGGTTCGCCGTCATGGGTCTAGAGGCATTCTCTCCTGCATCTATGGCAAGCATCCTCAGAGGTCGTGAAGTCTGTTGGAACTAGGAAAAAGGGTTTATATATTTGTGGAATGACCAGGGTGGGACAAAGGACTCTTGTCTGCTGGAGCTAGGTGTGAATGTTTCAACTCACCACCTTGATTAGCTTTTGATTGCCTGGCAGTGCCTGGAGCAATCTTTTGTTGAGAGGTGATTAGATGTCCTTGTTTGTTTCCTCTCTGTTGTTGTGCTGTTGTAATGTTTGAGTTTTTTAATACTGGTAGCCAGATTTTGTTCATCTTCATGGTTTCCTCCTTTCTGCTGAAATTGTCCACATGCTTGTGGATTTCAATGGCTTCTCTGTATAGTCTGACATGGTGGTTGTTGGAGTGGTCCAGCATTTCTGTCAGACCATTATGTGCTAATCAAGGTGGTCAGTTGAAACATTCCCACCTCGCTCCAGCAGACAAGAGTCCTTTGTCCCACCCTGGTCATTCCACAGATATATAAACCCTTTTTCCTAATTCCAACAGACCTCACTACCTCTGAGGATGCTTGTCATAGATGCAGGTGAAACGTCAGGAGAGAATGCCTCTAGATCATTGCCATATAGCCCGAAAAACCCTACAACAACCCAGTTTCCTCAGACATTAAGTCCAGTCATGTCCAACTCTGGGGGTTGGTGCTCATCTCCATTTCTAATCCGAAGAGCCGGCGTTGTCCATAGACACCTCCAAGGTCATGTGACCGGCATGACTCTATGGAGCGCTATCATCGAATTGTGCCGACTGGCATCGAATTGTGCCAACTTCTTCGCTGCATTCAGGCTGATGTGGGCAGGGCAGAAATAGCGTAAATAAATAAATAAATAAATAAATAAATAAATACCAAATACGTTTCGTTTGGAGATGAGCGAGAGAGACAAAGTGATGTGATAGCCCTTTGGCACATGTTTACCAGGATGTCGCATAGATAAATATAGATTATGTCGCTGGAGCGGTACCTATTGATCTCCTCACATTTGCATGTTTTTGAACTGCTAGGTTGGCAAAAGCTGGGGCTGACAGCGGAAGCTCATGCCGCTCCCCGGATTCAAACCTGAGACTTTTCAGTCAACAAGCTTAGCAGCTCAGCGGTTTAACCCACTGCGCCGTTGGGGACTCTAGTGGTGCTAAACTGTGCTAATTCTGCAATGCACCTTTAGAATTGTATGGCTAGCTAGGGTTGGATGGGGACTCCAAAGGTCATCTAGTCCAGCGGAGCCCCTGGTAACATAATGGGTTAAACCAGTGGTTCTCAACCTGGGGTCCCCAGATGTTTTTGGCCTACAACTCCCAGAAATCCTAACAGCTGATAAACTGGCAGAGGTTTCTGGGAGTTGTAGGCCCAAAACATCTGGGGAGCCCAGGTTGAGAACCACTGGGTTAAACCCTTGTGCCGGCAGGACGGATGACTTGAAGGTTGGGTTGCTGAACTGAAGGTTGCCAGTTCGGATCCAACCTGGGGAGAGTGCGGGTGAGCTCCCTCTATCAGCTCCAGCTCCATGCGGGGACATGAAAGAAGCCTCCCACAGGGGTGGTAAAAACATCAACAAAGCAACATTCCCTGGGCAATGTCCTTGCAGACGGCCAATTCTCTCACTCCAGAAGCGACTTGCAGTTTCTCAAGTCACTCCTGACACGAAAAAAAAAAATCTATTCCAGCCTTCTTTCTTTCTTTCTCTCCTGGAATGGAGCCCTTAATGCAGTGTTTCTCAACCTTCCTAACGCCATGACCCCTTAAGACAGTCCTTCATGTGGTGGTGACCCCCAACCATAACATTGTTTTTGTTGCAACTTCAGAACAGTCATTTTCCTACTGTTATAAACCATAATGTAAATATCAGATATGCAAGATGTATTTTCATTCACTGGAACAAACTGGGCACCAAACATGTAAATGCTAGTGGGGTTGGGGGAGGCCTGATTTTGTAATTTGGGAGTTGTAGTTGCTGGGATTTATAGTTCACCCATAATCAAAGAGCATTCTGAACTCCACCAGTGATGGATTTGAACCTAATTTTCCACACACAACTCCCATGACCAACAGAAAACACTGGAAGGGTTTGGTGGGCATTGACCTTGAGTTTGGGAGTTGTAGTTCACCTATATCCAGAGAGCATTGTGGACTCACACAATGGTGGATCTGGACCAAACTTGGCACAAATACTCAATATGTGCAAATGTGAACACTGGTGGAGTCTGGGGAAAATAGACCTTGACTTTTGGGAGTTGTAGTTGCTGGGATTTATAGTTCACTACAATCAAAGAACATTCTGAACTCCACCAATGATAGAATGGGCTCAAACTTCCTGCATGGAATCCCATTGACCATCAGAAAATACTGTGTTTTCAGATGGTCTTTGGCGACCCCTCTGACACCCCTTTGCGACCCCCTCAGTGGTCCCGACCCCCAGGTTGAGAAACACTGCCTTAATGGATCTTCAGGGGCCCTCTCTTCATTCCAGGAGAGAAAGAACCAAGGCCGGACTAGATGACCTTTGGAGTGCCCATCAGGATTGTTGTTTGTTCCCACAATCTGTGCCAGTGTGACATTTCAGAGGGGTCCTGCAGTTGAAACTATACAAACAGAAGACCGAATACGTTTCGTTTGGAGACGAGCGAGAGAGAAGAGGTGATGTGATAGCCCTTTGGCACATGTTGACCAGGATGTCGCATAGATGACGGAGCAAATTTGGTTCCAGTTGCTCCAGGATGCAAACCAATGGGCTCAAATGACAAGGAAGGGGATTTTGACACAACATTAGGTGAAACCTGTCGAAGTACAAGGCGTCCAAGTGTGGGACAGACTGTCCCAGAAGCCAAAGGACTCTCTTCCATTCTCATTTTGGCATAATAGTCGTGTCAGCACCGGACTGGACTAAATGTACCTTGAAAGTGTGGTGCATCTGCACTGTAGAATTAATGTGGGTTAGCCCCACTTTAACTGCCGTGGCTCAATGCTATGGATGTCCTGAGACTCTTGGGTCAAGAAGGCTAAAGATCTTGCTGCAAGGAGCAACTAATAAATCCATCCGTGGGGGTTTATTTTGGGCTGGTGGGATACTTTGCTGAAGCCGGTGGGGAAGGGGCAGGAAAGCAAAGCCAAAGAGTGCGTGTATGGAGTGCGTGCAGGGTTTGTTTTTGTCCTTCTTCCAGGAAAATAGAGATGGAGCGCTCACAGAGGACGAGGAAGCCGCGGCGAAGAAAAGGAGAGCAGAGAACAAGAAAACCTGGGGAGAATGGGCCAAGGGCGTGAAGGTCTTCATATGGAACCCAGAAACACGGCAATTCTTGGGCAGGACGGCTCAGAGCTGGGGTAAGTCCGGGTTGTGGCGCAGCTGCATTAAAATCACTACTGACCATGAGTTCGAAGCCAGCCCAGGTCGGAGTAAGCTCCCAACCATTTGTCTAGCTTACTGTTGACCTTTGCAGCCCAAAAGACATAGAATCATAGAATCAAAGAGTTGGAAGAGACCTCCTGGGCCATCCAGTCCAACCCCATTCTGCCAAGAAGCAGGAATATTGCATTCAAATCACCCCTGACAGATGGCCATCCAGCCTCTGTTTAAAAGCTTCCAAAGAAGGAGCCTCCACCACGCTCCGGGGCAGAGAGTTCCACTGCTGAACGGCTCTCACAGTCAGGAAGTTCTTCCTCATGTTCAGATGGAATCTCCTTTCTTGTAGTTTGAAGCCATTGTTCCATTGCGTCCTAGTCTCCAGGGAAGCAGTAAACAAGCTTGCTCTCCCCCTCTCTAGGACTTCCTCTCACATATTTATACATGGCTATCATATCTCCTCTCAGCCTTCTCTTCTTCAGGCTAAACATGCCCAACTCCTTAAGCCGCTCCTCATAGGGCTTGTCCTTCAGACCCTTGATCGTTTGAGTCGCCCTCCTCTGGACACAGCTTGTCAATATCTCTCTTCAATTGTGGTGCCCAGAATTCAGCTTATTTATTTATTTATTTACCTACTTACTTACTATTTACTTACTATATTTATATACGCCCCTCTCAGCCCGCAGGGGACTCAGGGCAGTTTACAGTCAGCATTAAAAACATTAAAAACATAACATAACATAACATACCATTAAAACAGTTATATACAACCAAAATAAACCAAAATAAAACGATCAATATCAATAAAAACATGCATCAGTTTGAGTTGCATCTGTCAAGTAGGAAATTTAGGTACCGCTTATGTGGGGAGGCTATTTTAACTAATTTATGACATCATAAAACTCTCCAGCAGCGTGCAAAAGAATGAGGAAGTACTCCATCGGTGTCACAAGCGGACGATGAAGCGACAGCTCCTCCGGTGGCCAGAATTCAAAGCGTACGCTCATGAAGCTGGAAAGTTAAATAGCCTCTGTGTGTCTATATCTGTAGTGTGTCTATGGCATTGAATGTTTGCCATGTATATGTGCATTGTGATCCACCCTGAGTCCCCTGTGGGGTGAGAAGGGCGGGATATAAATACTGTAAATACATAAATAATAAGTCAAAGCCAAATCCTGCATCCGTACTATCAAAGTGATGCAGTTTGGCACCGCTTTAACTGCCATGGCTCACGAGGGAATTGGGGGAGAACATGCAGGTCAAGAATAGGACTCCACAGTCACCTACGGACCCACCGCCAGTACACACCAAAGCTGGAGGACAATCTTACTCGGACAACGAGTAAGTAAGTGTACTGTGTAAGGCGGTGAAACTGGCCTTAAGGAAAATATGCCATTTTTAACCTTCCAAAACAAAGTTTTTGTGGCATAATAAACATTTCCCATGTTTTTTAGAATAGAACCCATTAGGAAATAGCATTGAGAACTCAGGAACCAAAATCGTGTGACATGGTGTAATATCAATAGTAATGATGATAATTAACATTAACAACCTCAGATATGCAGATGACACCACTCTGATGGCCGAAAGCGAGGAAGAGCTGAGGAGCCTTCTCACCAAGGTGAAAGAAGAAAGCGCAAAAGCCGGGTTGCAGCTAAACATCAAAAAAACCAAGATCATGTCAACAAGACTGATTGACAGCTGGGAAATAGAGGGAGAAAACGTGGAGGCCGTGACAGACTTTGTATTTCTAGGCGCAAAGACTACGGCAGATGCAGACTGTGGCCAGGAAATCAGGAGACGCTTCCTTCTTGGGAGGAGAGCAATGTCCAGTCTCGATAAAATAGTCAAGAGTAGAGACATCAGACTGGCAACAAAGATCCATTGCCTAGTCAAAGCCATGGTCCCTGTAGTCACCTACGGATGTGAGAGCTGGACCTTAGGGAAGGCTGAGCGAAGGAAGATCGATGCATTTGAGCTGTGGTGTTGGAGGAAAGTTCTGAGAGTGCCTTGGACTGCGAGAAGATCCAACCAGTCCATCCTCCAGGAAATAAAGCCCGACTGCTCATTGGAGGGAAGGATACTAGAGACAAAGTTGAAGTCTTTGGCCACATCATGAGGAGACAGCAAAGCCTAGAGAAGGGAATTATGCTGGGGAAAGTGGAAGGCAAAAGGAAGAGGGGCCGACCAAGGGCAAGATGGATGGATGGCATCCTTGAAGTGACTGGACTGACCTTGAAGGAGCTGGGGGTGGCGACGGCCGACAGGGAGCTCTGGCGTGGGCTGGTCCATGAGGTCATGAAGAGTCGGAGACGACTGAACGAATGAACAACAACAATGATGATAATAATCCTCCCCTGGGCATCATATGGGGAAAGGCAGGACGTAAATAAACGGATGTGTGCCTATTTGCATAAATATTATAGCACTCACTAACCTGTGCGCATTCTCATGCTTGCTAACTTCTCTTGTCTTGCAGCCCTGATCCTCCTCTTCTATCTCGTTTTGTACACTTTCCTGGCCGGGATGTTTTCCTTCGGTTTGTACGTCATGTTGCTCACTATGAGCCCCTACACGCCGACCTACAGAGACAGAGTTGCTCCGCCAGGTGAGCGTTTGGGCATATGGCCCACCTCTAGAGAGAGGTAGGTGTTGGAGCTCAGCCTTTGATTGTTTCAGGATCAGGGTGCTTTGGATGTGGGGCGTGATGTCAATGAGTTTCAAGATGGCAATGGTTTGGTCAGTGAGACTGATGCACAGAATGACCTGGAGACCCCTGTTCAAAGTGTAGTTTCCCATGAGAATGTCCCTGAGGGGTGTGGGGATGATGGTGTGCTCCCTGAGTTGCTACCAGAGGGTTCCCAGGATTTGGGGCTTGAAAACAACTCGGCACCTGCAGAAGTTAACGAGTAAATAGATAGTAGGAGATTAGTCAAAACAGACAAGCCGAGCAGTGGCTTCGGCGTTCTGCCAGGCTCCGACAGAAAAAGATAAGAGAATCTCAACTAAAGCGAAACCAATTTCTGAGTGCTTGGGATAGCTTAATGAGGGGATAAAAGTCTCAAGTATAGAAAATGTAGCCAGATGAAGCATCGTTTGGAATCAAGTTAAGTTCTCGTCCTTGTTTCATGGAAGCCTTGCTTGGAAGATGCATGCTTGAGTATTTCTTGTTTCATGGTTTTGATTCTTGGATTTTATTATTGCATACTCATGCCTTGGATTAATGTTTCCTGGTTTTCTGGATTTTATTAGAGAAGTGTGTTTTCATGGTCTTTGCTGAACTTTACCCTGGATTATTTTGCTCCTGCTTATCTTCTTACCTAATTGGATTTACCTATTTCTTTAAAGTGTTTTTTACTTTGCTGCTTTTTAATTATCTCCAATAAAAGGATTGTTTTCCTATTCAACGTGTGGTGTTTAAAGTCAGAGGGCTTTTCCTGTCCTGGAGTGCAACAGTAGGGAAGAATCCTGGAGAGGCATTCAGAAGTGACACTATGGGACTAAAGCAGTGGTTCTCAACCTTCCTAATGCCGTGACCCCTATATACCGTTCTTCATGTTATGGTGACCCCCAACCATAACATTATTTTCGTTACTACTTTCATAACTGTAAATTTTGTATTGTTATAAATCGGAATGTAAATATCTGATATGCAGGATGTATTTTAATTCACTGGACCAAATTTGGCACAAATACCCAATATGCCCACATTTGAATACTGGTGAGGGGTTTTTTTTTGGGGGGGGGGGGTGTTGAGTTTGTCATTTGGGAGTTGTAGCTGCTTGAATTTATAGTTCACCTACAATCAAAGAGCATTCTGAACTCCACCAGTGATGGAATTGAACCAAACACAGAACGCCCATGACCAACAGAAAATTCTGGAAGAGTTTGGTGGGCACTGACCTTGAGTTTGGGAGTTGTAGTTCACCTACATCCAGAGAGCCAAGCTAGGATGGATCTGGACCAAACTTGGCACAGATACTCAATATGCCCAAATGTCGACACTGGTGTAGTTTGGGGAAAATAGACCTTGCCATTTGGGAGTTGTAGTTGCTGGGATTTATAGTTCACCTACAATCAAAGAGCATTCTGAACTGCATCCAAGATAGAATTGGGCCATACTTCCCACATAGAACCCCCATAACCAACAGAAAATGCTGTGTTTTTCTGATGGTCTTTGGCGACCCCTTTGACACCCCCTTGCGACCCCTCCAGGGGTCCCGACCCCCAGGTTGAGAAACACTGGACTAGAGTGTGATAGACTCTACTGTCATGGATACCTTCTGAACCTTGAAAATGTCCTTTAATCAATTTCCAGTGGGACAGAGTGCATCAGGCACTTTCACAGAAAGAAGTAGAAACACACACTGCATTTGTATTGATTACACCGACATCCCATTTACTCTCACATTCACTCATGAGCCACTCATTCAACCATTCATACTCACCATCCTTCTTCATTTAGGCTTCTTGGAAGGAGGCAGGTTTTCAAAATGCTGCATCCCTCTGCAGGCCTGGCACACTTTTCGAAGATGCAATATTGCATCTGCGAAGAATCGTCCAGCTGAGCTCTTCCGAGTTGTCAGGGGTTTGTTAAGCCCGCCGAAAAGCGAGATCCCTGACAGCTCTGGAGCTCGCTGTGAAGCGTTTGCTCGATTCTTCGCAGATAAAATTGTGCGGATTCAGTCGGATTTCAACACCACTTTACCTGCAGTCTCTGAGAATGTAACGAGAGCATCTGCTTGTCAGGTTTTATTGGATTCATTTCAATTGGTTCAGCTTGAGGATGTGGACAGGATCCTTGGAGAGGTGCGACCCACCACATGCATCCTAGACCCCTGCCCATCCTGGCTGATAAAAAGCCAGAGGGGGTTTGGCAGGGTGGGTGAAGGTGATGGTCAATGCCTCCTTACAGAAAGGAGAGTTTCCAGCGAGCTTAAAACAAGCTATTATAAAACCGCTGTTGAAGAAACCATCACTGGACTCCACTCAATTAGACAACTACCGGCCAGTTTCCAATCTCCCCTATTTGGGCAAAGTCCTGGAACGTGTGGTGGCAACTCAACTCCAGGGATTTCTGGTAGACACTGATTATCTTGATCCGGCACAGTCTGGCTTTAGACCGGGACATGGAACGGAAACAGCCTTGGTCGCCTTGTTAGATGATCTGCGCAGGGAACTGGACAGGGGGAGTGTGTCCCTGTTAGTTCTGCTGGACCTCTCTTCGGCCTTCGATACCGTCGATCACGGTATCCTTCTGGGACGCCTCAAAGACATGGGTCTCAGGGGTACTGCCTTGCAGTGGCTCCAGTCATTTCTTGAGGGACGGTCCCAGAAGGTGTTACTGGGTGACACCTGTTCGGCCCCACAACCGTTGTCGTGTGGAGTCCCACAGGGTTCGATCCTGTCCCCAATGTTGTTTAACATCTACATGAAGCCGCTGGGGGAGATCATTCGGAGTTTCGGATTGAGATGTTATCTCTATGTAGATGATGTCCAGATCTGTCACTCCTTCTCACCTGTCACCAAGGAGGCTGTCCAGACCTTGAATCGGTGTCTAGCTGCTGTGTCGGACTGGATGAGAGCTAACAAATTGAAATTGAATCCAGACAAGACAGAGGTCCTACTGGTCAGTCGCAAGGCCGAACAGGGTATAGGGTTACAGCCTGTGCTGGATGGGGTTACACTCCCCCTGAAGACGCAGGTTCGCAGCTTGGGAGTGATCCTGGACTCATCACTGAGCCTGGAACCCCAGGTCTCAGCGGTGGCCGGGAGAGCTTTTGCGCAATTAAAACTTGTGCACCAGTTGCGCCCATACCTTGGGAAGTCTGATCTGGCCACGGTGGTCCACGCTCTTGTTACATCCCGAATAGACTACTGCAACGCTCTCTACGTGGGGTTGCCCTTGAAGACTGTTCGGAAACTTCAACTAGTCCAGCGAGCGGCAGCCAGATTGCTCACCGGAGCGACATACAGGGAGCATACCACCCCCCTGCTATGCCAGCTCCACTGGCTGCCGGTTCAGTTCCGAGCACAATTCAAGGTGCTGGTTTTGACCTACAAAACCCTGTACGGTTCCGGTCCAGTGTATCTGTCCAAACGTATCTCCCTCTACGTCCCACCCCGGAGTCTGAGATCATCTGGGGAGGCCCTGCTCTCGACCCCACCACTGTCACAAGTGAGGCTGGTGGGGACGAGGAGCAGGGCTTTCTCAGTGGTGGCCCCTCACCTGTGGAACTCACTCCCGGGGGAAATCAGGACATCATCATCCCTCCTCTCCTTCAGGAGGAGGGTGAAGACGTGGCTTTGGGACCAGGCCTTTGGGCACTCTGGCAATTAAATAAAACATTCAGGCGAATAAGACCAACAGGACTGATGAAGTGGAACGAAAATTAGAACTATGAGTTAGCGAACGCTGACCATGTAGGAGGAGGTATTGGGTTTGTATTGTTTTATTGATTTTATGGGTATAATACTTGAATCGTTGTTACTGTTTATAACCTGTGAATTGATGTAATTTTTGTTGATTGTTCTGTGATGTAGGCATCAAATTGTGCCTTTGTTTTCGTAAGCCGCCCTGAGTCCCCTTCGGGGTGAGAAGGGCGGGGTAAAAGAACTCCGAAATAATAAATACATAAATAAAGGGTGTCTTTATGTAGAACTTTTTGTTGTTGTTGTTGTTGTTTCTTAATTGTTTTGACAACTTTGACAACTTGTCATTCAGCTAAGACTCGCCAAAGGGCCATTCCAGAGCAGATGTTGCTTAACTTCCTTGGTGTGAAGTATCATTATTTCTGATTTACTTAACTTAAAGCAGTGTTTCTCAACCTGGGGGTCAGGATCGCAAAGAGGTGTCAGGGGGTTGCCAAAGACCATCAGAAAACATGGGATTTTCTGTTGGTCATGGGGGTTCTGTGTGGGAAGTTTGGCCCAATTCTGTCATTGGTGAGGTTCAGAATGCTCTTTGATTGTAGTTGCACTATAAATCCCAGCAATTAAAACTCCCAAATGTCAAGGTCTGTTTCCCGCAAACTCCACCAGTGTTCTCATTTGGGCATACTGGGAATTCATGCCAAGTTTGGTCCAGAGCTATCATTGTTTGAGTCCACAGTGTTCTCTGGATGTAGGTGAACTACAACTCCAAAACTCAAAGTCAATGCCCACCAAACCCTTCCAGCATTTTCTGTTGGTCCTGGGAGTTCTGTGTGCCAAGTTTGGTTCAATTCCATTGCTGGTGGAATTCAGAATGTTCTTTGATTGTAGGTGAACTATAAGTCCCAGCAACTACAACTCCAAAATGTCAAGGTCTATTTTCCCTAAACGCCACCAGTGTTCACATTTGGGCATATTGAGTATTCGTGCCAAGTTTGGTTCAGATCCATCATTGTTTGAGTCCACAGTGCTCTCTGGGTGTAGGTGAACTACATCTCCAAAATTCAAGGACAATGCCCACCAAACCCTTCCAGCATTTTCTGTTGGTCCTGGGAGTTCTGTGTGCCAAGTTTGGTTCAATTCCATTGCTGGTGGAGTTCAGAATGTTCTTTGATTGTAGGTGAACTATAAGTCCCAGCAACTACAACTCCAAAATGTCAGGGTCTATTTTCCCTAAACTCCACCAGTGTTCACATTTGGGCATATTGAGTATTCGTGCCAAGTTTGGTTCAGATCCATCATTGTTTGAGTCCACAGTGCTGTCTGGATGTAGGTGAACTACATTTCCAAAACTCAAGGTCAATGCCCACTAAACCCTTCCGGTATTTTCTGTTGGTCATGGGAGTTTCGTGTGCCAAGTTTGGTTCAATTCCAGTGTTGGTGGAGTTCAGAATGCTCTTTGATTGGAGGTTAAGTGTAAATCCCAGCAACTACAACTCCCAAATGACAAAATCGATCCCAACTGCACCAGTATTCGAATTTGGGTGTATTGGGTATTTGTGCCAAATGTGCTCCAGTGAATGAAAATACACCCTGCAGATCATTATTTACATGTCAACTCATAATGTTATTCTTATGGTTGGGGGTCACCACAACATGAGGAACTGTATTAAGGAGTCGTGGTATTATTTCTGGGGACCACAATTGAAGAGAGATATTGACAAGCTGGAATGTGTCCAGAGGAGAGCGACTAAAATGATAAAAGGTCTGGAGAACAAGCCCTATGAGGAGCGGCTTAAGGAGCTGGGCATGTTTAGCCTGGAGAAGAGAAGGCTGAGAGGAGATATGATAGCCATGTATAAATATGTGAGAGGAAGCCACAGGGAGGAGGAGGGAGCAAGCTTGTTTTCTGCTTCCCTGGAGACTAGGACGCAAGGGAACAATGGCTTCAAACTACAAGAGAGGAGATTCCATCTGAACATGAGGAAGAACTTCCTGACTGTGAGAGCCGTTCAGCAGTGGAACTCTCTGCCCCGGAGTGTGGTGGAGGCTCCTTCTTTGGAAGCTTTTAAACAGAGGCTGGATGGCCATCTGTGAGGGGTGATTTGAATGCAATATTGCTGCTTCTTGGCAGAATGGGGTTGGACTGGATGGCCCACGGGGTCTCTTCCAACTCTTTGATTCTATGATTCTATTAGGAAGGTTGGGAACTACTGACTGAAAGAATCATTGTCTCTGACTACGTAAACATTTGTTATTGATACCAAAAGCTCACAGATTAGTTATTATCAGTTCAGCAGTTTTCATGCCAAAGTTAATACATCTTCCCCTATCTCAGCCATTCACCTTGGGAATAACCAAGGAGAATCTGGAACCTTGAAGTCCAAAACATCCCTTTTCAGATCGTGAAGGGAAATGGCCAAGGAGAGTAATAATAATAATAATAATAATAATAATAATAATAATAATAATACTTTATTTATGTGCAGCTCCATCTCCCTGAGGGGACTCAGAGCGGTTCCCAGGTAACATCACAAAACATACAAAGTAAAAAAACAACATAACCATAAGATTAACAAAACAAAATCTATATAAATAAAAATGTAATGTTTGTTTGTGGGATTCACAGAACTCAAAAACCAGTGGGCCAATTGACACCAAATTTGGACACAAGACACCTAACAACCCAATGTATGTCTTTCACTCAAAAAAAAATTGATTTTGTCATTTGGGAGTTGTAGTTGCTGGGATTTATAGTTCACCTACAATCAAAGAGCATTCTATTTATTTATCGTGTTATCCGCAACCAGAACACTGTATTACATTTCTAACAGAACAAAACAAACAAACAGATAAAAAAAACACACACACATTTTGCAAACTTGGTAGCTGATTAAATGTCCTTTGACCAGGATCTGTCCCCTTGGAGTGCCTCTGGTGTTGCCGCAAGCAGGTCCTCCATCGTGCATGTGGCGGGGCTCAGGGTGCATTGCAGCAGGTGGTCAGTGGTTGGCTCTTCTCCACACTCGCATGTCGTTGATTCCACTTTGTGGCCCCATTTCTTAAGATTGGCTCTGCATCTCGTGGTGCCAGAGCAAGGTCTGTTCAGCGCCTTCCAAGTCGCCCAGTCTTCTGAGTGCCCAGGGGGGAGTCTCTCATCTGGTATCACCCACGGATTGAGGTGCTGGGTTTGAGCCTGCCACTTTTGGATTCTCGCATGCTGGGGTGTTCCAGCGAGTGTCTCTGTAGATCTAAGAAAACTATTTCTTGATTTAAGTCGTTGACGTGCTGGCTGATACCCAAACAAGGGATGGGCTGGAGATGTCTCTGCCTTGGACCTTTCACTATTGTCTGCCACTTCCCGGCGGATGTCAGGTGGTGCAATACTGGCTAAGCAGTGTAATTTCTCCAGTGGTGTAGGGCGCAGGCACCCCGTGATAATGCGGCATCTCATTGAGAGCCACATCCACTGTTTTAGTGTGGTGAGATGTGTTCCACACTGGGCGTGCATACTCAGCAGCAGAGGAGCATAGCGCAAGGGCAGATGTCTTCACTGTATCTGGTTGTGATCCCCAGGTTGTGCCAGTCAGCTTTCGTATGATATTGTTTCTAGCACCCACTTTTTGCTTGATGTTCAGGCAGTGCTTCTTGTAGGTAAGAGTATGGTCCAGAGTGACTCCCAGGTATTTAAGCGTGCTGCAATGCTCCAGTGGGATTCCTTCCCAGGTAATCTTCAGAGCTCGGGATGCTTCTCTATTCTTGAGATGAAAGGCACATGTCTGTGTTTTGGATGGGTTGGGGATCAGCTGGTTTTCCCTGTAAGAGGCAGTAAAGGCACCTAGAGCTTCGGAGAGCTTCTGTTCAAAGCTCCCTGCTTGAGCAGTAATGGCACGATCATCAGCATAGATGAAACTCTCTGTCCCTTCTGGCAGTGGCTGGTCATTTGTGTAGATGTTGAACATGGATGTTGAACATGGATGGAGCAAGCATGGAGCATTCTGAATTCCTCCAACGATGGAATTGAATCAAACTTGGCACACAAAACTCCCATGACCAACATAAAACACTAGAAGGGTTTGGTGGGGATTGACCTTGATTTTGGGAGTTGTAGTTCACCTACATCCAGAGAGCACTGTAGACTCAAACAATGATGGATCTGGAGCAAACTTGGCACAAATATTCCATATGCCCAAACATGAACACAGATTGAGTTTGGGGAAAATAGACCTTGACCTTTGGGATTTGTAGTTACTGGGATTTATATAGTTCACCTACAATTAAAGAGCATTCTGAATCCCACAAATGACAGAATCGGGGCAAACTTCCCACACAGAACTCTCATGACCAACAGAAAATACTTAAGGCCATCCAGTCCAACTCTCTTCACCAGGGCAAGAAAATCTAATCAAAGTCCTCCTGACAAAGAGCCATCCAGTCATAGAGATAGATAGATAGATATGATTCTCTCTCTCACACACACAGATATAGTATCATAGATTTGAAAGGGACCCCTAAAGAAGGACTATGATATGTTGCATGTTCCAGAGTAGGCAAGCCGGACACTCTCCACATCAACACTGACAAAGAAACAACAAGAAATACTGTTTACCCACAAGCAGAAAGACATGACATAGATTAGAAACCAACACTTTCTCATTTTCCATATGCACAGCAACGCGTGGCAGGGGACGGCTAGTATAAGCATAAAAATTGTTGCCATAACACACATATATTAAAAGTAATCCTGCCTGTTCAAGGCAATTTAAAAAAAAATTAAAAGGCCAGGCCAAGATTTGTGCAAACCCAAAAATTCTCGGAGGCCTGGGAATTAAGTGCAATGCTATGTCAGGCAACAATAATATTAGGTATGGGTCTGTGGCTGTTCATTCCGGGGCCGATTAGAGGAAATGATCTGAGTAATTGGTAGGAAGTATAAGGCCGTATACGACCACGTGTAGGGCTGAGTTAGAACTGGCCATTTTCAAAGGCTTGTTGAAACCACCAGGTCTTCAAGCTCTTATGAAAGGAGAGGAGGGATGGGGCCTGTCTTATTTCCCTTGGAAGGGCGTTCCAGAGGCGGGGGGCCACCACCGAGAAGGCCCTCTCTCTTGTCCCCACCAACCGCGCTCGAGACAGTAGTGCAGTGCTTCTCAACCTTCCTAATGCCGCGACCCCTTAATACAGTTCCTTATGTTGTGGTGACCCCCAACCATAACATTATTTTCATTGCTACTTCACAACTGTAATTTTGCTCCTGTTATGAATTATCTTGTAAATATCCAATATGCAGGATGTATATTGGATACTCGATACGCCCAAATTTGGATACTCGAATACTCGATACGCCCAAATTTGGATACTGGCGGGGTTGAGGGGAGGATTGATTTTGTCATTTGGGAGTTGTAGTTGCTGGGATTTATAGTTCACCTACAATATCAAAGAGCATTCTGAACTCCACCAAGGATGGAACTGAACCAAACTTGGGTCACAGAGCTCCCATGACCAACAGAAAATACTAGAAGGGTTTGGTGGGCATTGACCTTGGGCTTTGGAGTTGTAGTTTACCTACATCCAGAGAGCACTGATGTATCTGGACCAAACTTGGCATGAATACTCAATATGCCTAAATGTGGACACTGGTGCGATTTAGTGAGGATAGACCTTGACATTTGGGAGTTGGAGTGGCTGGGATTTATAGTTCACCTATAATCAAAGAGCATTCTGAACTCCACCAATGATAGAATTGGGCCAAAGTTCCCACACGGAACCCCCATGACCAACAGAAAATACTGTGTTTTCTAATTGTCTTTGGCGACCCCTCTGACACCCCCTTGCGACCCCCCCCCAGGGGTCCCGACCCCCAGGTTGAGAAACATTGCAGTAGTGGGACCGAGAGGAGGGCCTCCCCGGAAGAGCTTAGAGCTTGTGCCAGTTCATAGAAGGAGATGCGATCGCGGAGATAGGCAGGGCCCAAACCCATTTAGGGCTTTATAGGTCATGACCTGCTCCTTGAATTTGGCTCGGCAACTTACCGGCAGCCAATGAAGCTGTTTTAATAGGGGTGTTAGCGACAGTAGCGACAGTGGTAAAGAGCAGAGTTTGACTCTCTTTCTCTCCATTTCTCCTTCTCTTCCCACTCCCATTCTAGGAGTTATGATCAGACCCTACGTGGACAACACGGTCAACATTGCCTTCAACGTCTCCCGTTCTGCTTCGTGGCAACGTTATGTGGAAAACTTGGAGGGGTATTTACAAGGTGGGTTCCTTTCTGAAATGCCTTGCACACTCTTGAGATGCTCCCTAATGGTTTTTGGAAAAGCAAATCAGGCATGTACACACATGCCTGAGCTTCTCCTGATGCTCAAGCTGGCCTCCTCTTAGTGGCACATGTAGGTGCTCAGTCCAGTTTACGGCTGGTGTAGTCTTGTAGTGCATTCTGTTTTCGTACTTATTGTGGAGGCCGGACTGTCTTGCACAATGACTACGATTTCTCTAGGTTCTTGTGGGTTTTTTCGGGCTATAGAGCCATGTTCTAAAGGCATTTCTCCTGACGTTTTGCCTGCATCTATGGCAAGCATCCTCAGGTGAAACGTCAGGAGAAATGCCTCTAGAACATGGCCCTATAGCCCGAAAAAACCCACAAGAACCTAGTGATTCCAGCCATGAAAGCCTTCGACAATACATACGATTTCTCTATTTACATAAATACGATTCCAATACGGTATTTATCATGCTAGTACCATACATAGAATCATAGAATCAAAGAGTTGGAAGAGACCTCATGGGCCATCCAGTCCAACCCCATTCTGCCAAGAAGCAGGAATATTGCATTCAAATCACCCCTGACAGATGGCCATCCAGCCTCTGTTTCAAAGCTTCCAAAGAAGGAGCCTCCACCACACTCCGGAGCAGAGAGTTCCACTGCTGAACGGCTCTCACAGTCAGGAAGTTCTTCCTCATGTTCAGATGGAATCTCCTCTCTTGTAGTTTGAAGCCATTGTTCCATTGCGTCCTAGTCTCCAGGGAAGCAGAAAACAAGCTTGCTCCCTCCTCCCTGTGGCTTCCTCTCACATATTTATACATGGCTATCATATCTCCTCTCAGCCTTCTCTTCTTCAGGCTAAACATGCCCAGCTCCTTAAGCCGCTCCTCATAGGGCTTGTTCTCCAGACGCTTGATCATTTTAGTCGCCCTCCTCTGGACACATTCCAGCTTGTCAATATCTCTCTTGAGATATTATCTCATGCTTCCCTCATTCTTCATCCACACAATTATCCTATGGAGACTGAATCTAGATCAGTGGTTCCCAACCTTTAAGAGACTGTGGAGCGCTGAGGCAAAAACTGAATACATCACAGACCATCGAGATCAGTCAACCCCTCTCCCCACCACCCGCACATCAAGAAATAAAGTCAGTTTTTAAATAACTAGAATTTATTAATCACCACACTAGTATTTACATATACATCATTATTAATTTGTGATATAAAGACCAAATACCATAATAAATAATGTGATTTTTGAGCTTGTATTTCTTCCACTCAGGAGAAAAGCAGGAAGCAGCTTGCTCACCTCCTCTTTCCAGTCTCCTCTTAGTCCTCGGGCTTCAAGGGCCAGTCTGGGAGGATGGGCTTGGACCGCTCCCTTCTGCTGGACTGGCCAAAGGGAGAGAGCGCACCTGCCCATATGCTCCCTTCCTTTCCCCTTCCCCTCCTTTCCTTTTTCCCCCCTTTCCTTTTCTTCCCCTTCCCCTTATTCCTTTCCTCTTCCTTTCTTTCTCCCTTTTCCTTCCTTTCCCCCTCCCTCCTTTCCTTTTCCTTCCTTCCTTTTCCCCCTTCCTTCTCTTTTTCTTCCTTTCCTTTCTTCTCCCTTCCCTTCCTTTTCTTTCCCTTCCTTTCCCCTTCTCCTTCCCCTTCCTCCTTCTTTCCCTTCTTCCTCTTTCTCCTTTCTTCCTTTCCTTCTTCCTTTCCCCTTCTCTCCTCCCCTTCCTCCTTCTTCCCCTTCTCATCTTTTTCTTTTCTTCTTTCCTTTCCTTTTCCTCTTCCCCTTCCCTTCCTTCCCTTCCTTCCTTCCTTCCTCTTCTCTTCCCTCCCTTCCTTTTTCTTCTTTCCTTTCCTTCTCTTCCTTTCCCTTCCTTTCTTCTTCCTTTCCTTCTTTCTTTCCCCTTTCCCCCTTCTCTTCCTTCCCTTCTCTTCCTTTCCCTTCCTTCCTTCTTCCTTTCCCCTTCTTTCCCTTCCCTTCCCTTTCATCTTTCCTTCCTTCCTTCCTTTCCCTTCCTTACCTTCTTCCTTCCCTTTCCCTTCCCCTTTCCCTTCTTTCCCTTCCTTCCCTCTCTCTTTCTCCCTTCCCTCCTTTCCTTCCTTCCCTTCTTCCTTTCCCTTCTCCCTTCCCTCCTCCTTCTTTTCCCCCTTCTCATCTTTCCTTTTCTCTTTTCTTTCCTTTTCCTCCTTCCCCTTTCCTTCCCTTTCCTTCCACTCCTTCCCCTTCCCTTCCTTTACTCTTCTTCCTGTCCCCTTCCCCTCCTCTCTTTTTCTTCCTTTCCCTTCCTTTCCTTTCCCTTCCATTCCCCTTCTTCCTTTCCCCTTCTCCTTCCCCTTCCCCTTCTTCCCCCCTTCTCATCTTTTCCTTCCTCCCCTTCTCCCTTCCCCTTCCCCCTTCTTTCCCTTCCCCTTCCCTTCTCATCTTTTCCTTCCCTTCCCTTCCCTTTCCCTTCCTTTCACCTTCTTCCTTTCCCCTTCTCCCTCCCCTTCCTCCTTCTTTTCCCCTTCTCATCTTTTCCTTTTTCTTCTTTTCCTTTCCTTTTCCTCCTTCCCCTTTCCTTCCCTTTCCTTCCACTCCTTCCCCTTCCCTTCCTTTACTCTTCTTCCTGTCCCCTTCCCCTCCTCTCTTTTTCTTCCTTTCCCTTCCTTTCCTTTCCCTTCCATTCCCCTTCTTCCTTTCCCCTTCTCCTTCCCCTTCCCCTTCTTCCCCCCTTCTCATCTTTTCCTTCCCTTCCCTTCCCTTCCCTTCCCTTTCCTTTCATCTTCTTCCTTTCCCCTTCTCATCTTTTCCTTTCCGTTCCTTTCCTTTCCTTTCCTTCCCTCCCCTTCCCTTCCCCTTCCTCTTCCTTCTCCTTTGCTTCTTCTTCCTCCTCCTCCTGGCAATGCAGCCTGCAAATGGGGCTTCCTTCCGTGCCTGAAAGGCAGGTCAAGAATGAAGGATACAACACCCCCATTGCTCCCTAGACAGACACACAGAGGCTATTTAACTTTCCAGCTTCATGAGGGTATGCTTTGAATTCCAGCCACTGGGGGAGCTGTCGCTTCACTGTCCACTTTTGACACCGATGGAGTACTTCCTCATTCTTTTGCACGCTGCTGGAGAGTTTTATGGTGCCGTGAATTAGTAAAATTAGCTTCCCTGCATAAGTGCTACCTAAATTTCCTACTTGACAGATGCAACTGTCTTTTGGGCTGCAAAGGTCAACAGCAAGCTTACTCTGACCTGGGCTGGCTTCGAACTCATGACCTCATGACTGCGCCACAACCCGGTCCTAAGGATGCAATAAAGCTGCGGTGACATATCCACTGTCTTGGTTTCCTTTAGCTTACAATGACGCTGAGCAAGTGTCCAAAAATATCCAGTGCACCCCAGGCCGGTATTTCATCCAAGAGGACGAAAGCAAACCGAAGAAAGCGTGCCAGTTCAAGCGGTCCGCGCTCAAGGATTGTTCTGGATTGAAGGACAAATCGTTTGGCTACTCTTCAGGGAGCCCTTGCATCTTGCTGAAGATGAACCGCGTAAGTTGACTACTTCATCCCTTATATCTCACCAAGCCGTTTTCAAGAAATGGGATTGGTTGGAAGATAATTAAGAGTTTGCTTTTTCACAGATTGTGGGCTACCAGCCTGGATATGGGACTCCGGTGACCGTGAGCTGCAAAATATACGTACGTTTCCTTCTTCTTTTTCTTCTGCAGTTTCTCAAGTTGGGTTGTTGTAGGTTTTTCTGGGCTATATGGCCATGTTCTAGAGGCATTCTCTCCTGACGTTTCGCCTGCATCTATGGCAAGCATCCTCAGAGGTAGTGAGGTCTGTTGGAACTAGGAAAAGGGGTTTATATATCTGTGGAATGACCAAGGTGGGACAAAGGACTCTTGTCTGCTGGAGATAGGGGTGAATGTTTCAACTGACCACCTTGATTAGCATTTGATCGCCTGGCAGTACCTGGGGGAATCTTTTGTTGAGAGGTCATTAGATGTCCTAGATTGTTTCCCCTCTGTTGTTTTGCTGTTGTAATTTTAGAGGGTTTTTTTAATATTGGTAGTCAGACTTTGTTCATTTTCATGGTCTCTTCCTTTCTGTTGAAATTGTCCACATTCTTTTAATGGATTTTAATGGCTTCTCTGTGTAGTCTGACATGGTGGTTGTTGGAGTGGTTGTGAGAGGAGGAAACCATGAAAATGAACAAAATCTGGCTACCAATATTTAAAAACTCTAAAATTACAACAGCAAAACAACAGAGAGTAAACAGTCAGGCACATCTAATCACCTCTCAACAAAAGATTCCCCCAGGCACTGCCAATCCATCAAATGCTAATCAAGGTGGTCAGTTGAAACATTCACACCTATCTCCAGCAGACAAGAGTCCTTTGTCCCACCCTGGTCATACCACAGATATATAAACCCTTTTTCCTAGTTCCAACAGACCTCACTACCTCTGGGGATGCTTGCCATAGATGCAGGCGAAGCGTCAGGAGAAAATGTCTCTAGAACATGGACAACAAGTTAAACATGAGCCAGGAATGTGATGTGGCGGCAAAAAAAGCCAATGGGATTTTGGCCTGCATCAATAGGAGCCTAGTGTCTAGATCTAGGGAAGTCATGCTCCCCATGCTCTATTCCGCTTTGGTTAGACCACGTTACCTGGAATATTGTGTCCAATTCTGGGCACCACAATTCAAGAGATATATTGACAAGCTGGAATGTGTCCAGAGGAGGGCGATTCAAATGACCAAGGGTCTGGAGAACAAGCCCTATGAGGAGCGGCTTAAGGAGCTGGGCATGTTTAGCCTGAAGAAGAGAAGGCTGAGAGGAGACATGATGAGAGCCATGTATAAATATGTGAGAGGAAGCCACAGGGAGGAGGGAGCAAGCTTGTTTTCTGCTTCCCTGGAGACAAGGACACAATGGAACAATGGCTTCAAACTACAAGAGAGGAGATTCCATCTGAACACGAGGAAGAACTTCCTGACTGTGAGAGCCGTTCAACAGTGGAACTCTCTGCCCTGGAGTGTGGTGGAGGCTCCTTCTTTGAAGGCTTTTAAACAGAGGTTGGATGGCCATCTGTCGGGGGTGATTTGAATGCAATATTCCTGCTTTTTGGTAGAATGGGGTTGGGCTGGATGGCCCAGGAGGTCTCTTCCAATTCTTTGATTCTATGATTCTATTATTTGATTCTATGATCGACAACAACCCAGTGATTCCGGCCATGAAAGCCTTTGACAATACGTTTCTCAAGTTGTTTCTGACATGAAAAAAGAAAAGAAAAGAGTTGGTTGTGTAGAAATAGAGTCTATGAGATTGTGGCAAGTCTTTTAGTACCAAGAGTTCAGCAATGGTAAAATCATTTCCAAGTCCTTGTAGCTTTGCATAGATTTTGCATCCCTTTGGGAGGTGGGACTCGTTGGCTGAGCAGCATCCGTTTTCCAAGCAGAAGCTCTTAGGGTTAGCCCTTGACATTGTTTACGAAAGGATCCTGCTTGAAACCCTTGGTTGTAGCCAATGTCTGCCCATATATCCCATGTTGTCGATGACTTGACTGGCTCTCTCTTTTAATTTTTATTATAAATTGCAGAAAGGCGATGAAAGTGCTCTTCTTCGAGTGAAATACTACCCAAGTGACACGTTCGATCCCATGTACTTCCCTTACTATGGCAAGCACACACACGTAAGTGGAAACGCAGGGGTTTGGATACCAACTTTCGCGACTTAAACTGGGCAACTTGAGGTCTTCCAGATTGGTGTTGAATGCCATATTTCCACTTATCTCTTAGTGTTTCGTTGGGACGAGGCCTTCATCAACATTGGCAGTGGCATCGATTGATTTAGCAATTTACTTGGCTGCTAAAAAGACCAGAATAATTGAATTCACAATAAGTCCATCCAGAAACAAAGGCGTATTCGTGTTATTTCTTGGGCATCGGCTGCTGGTGCCGATACCCAAGAGTGTGTGTTCGAATTCCGGCCACCAGGGGAGCTCTTGCTTCACCGTCCACTTGTGACACCGATGGAGTACTTCCTCATTCTTTTGCACACTGCTGGGGAGTTTTATGGCATCATAAATTAGTTAAATTAGCCTCCCCGCATAAGCGGTACCTACATTTCCTACTTGACAGATGCAACTGTCTTTCGGGCTGCAAAGGTCAACAGCAAGCTAGACAAATGGTTGGGAGCTTACTCCAACTTGGGCTGGCTTCGAACTCATAACCTTTTGGTCATTAATGCAATTGACTCTCAAACAGTTGTGCCACATTATCAGTATCTCAAAGTACGAAGCATGGTGTATCAATTTCTGTTGACTGCCAACATGCATTTTCGGTAGAGATGGGCAACCATCTTTTAGGCTGCAAAGGTCAACAGTGAGCTAGACAAATGGTTGGGAGCTTACTCCAACTTGGGCTGGCTTCGAACTCATAACCTTTTGGTCATTAATGCAATTGACTCTCAAACAGTTGTGCCACATTATCAGTATCTCAAAGTACGAAGCATGGTGTATCAATTTCTGTTGACTGCCAACATGCATTTTCGGTAGAGATGGGCAACCATCTTTCAGGCTGCAAAGGTCAACAGTGAGCTAGACAAATGGTTGGGAGCTTACTCCAACTTGGGCTGGCTTCAAACTCATAACCTTTTAGTCATTGATGCAATTGACTCTCAACCAGTTGTGCCACAATATCAGTATCTCAAAGTATGAAGCATGGTGTATCAATTTCTGTTGACTGCCAACATACATTTTCGGCAGAGATGGGCAACCTCATTGGCTCCAGGGCAACAAGGATTGACAAAAAAAAATGGGGAAAACAACCCAGGCATTTCTGGAAGTCTGCTTTGGGTATTAAAACTGTGTCTCTTGATATGCTAAAGAAGGAAAAGGAAGAACTTAATGTATGTGTGTTTGCTTGTTGCTTTACATCCCAGAGTTATGGCAAATCCTCATTGGCGTGTCTCTTCTTCCTCCAGACCACCTATGCGCAACCTGTGGTGGCCATGCATTTTACCAACGTGACCAAGAACCAGGTCATGACCATTCAATGCCAATTGAACGGAAAGGGCATCATCAATACCTACAATAACGACCGGTTCCTGGGGCGCATTGTTTTCATGTTGCAGGTCGGAAACTAGACCTGGGAGCCGCCCGCCTGCACCGCTTCGGAGGCCGCAGAAAACTCTTCCCACCTCGGAGGGAGAAACAGCCATTGACAAGAGCTGGGGGTGGAGGGGTGGGGTGGGAGAGGGGAGTCAGACCTGTTTGGGGAGGAGACTATTTTGGTTTGTGTCTATGATGTATAGACTGCAGAATTAAATGTAATTGGAAGCGTTCACTTAGCAAACAAATACCCGACTCATGCAAGATCCTGTTTGGCAGGGAGTGTTTCAAACACATCAGACTGGGGACTTTGCCATAATGTAGAGCAAGGATGTGGGCTCTTTTCTCTGGCCCTCTTCACTCCCACCATCCTATCCTTCCTTCCTTCACTTTCTTTCTTCCTTCTCTCCCTCCTTTAACTCCCTCCTTCCTTCCCTCCCACCCTTTTGTCTTTCTTTCCTCCCTCCCTCCCTTCCTCCCTCCCATTGCCTTTCCTCTTTTCTCTCCCTTCCTTCCCTGCCTTCCCTTCCAACCTTGTCTTTCCTTTCTCCTTTTTCCTTCCTCCTTCCCTTCAACCCTTTTGTCCTTCCTTCCTTCCTTCCCATTTGTATTTCCTTCCTTTTCTTTTCTCCCCTTTCCTTCCTCCTTCCTCCCCTCCTCTTTCCTTTCTTTCTTTCTTTCTTTTTTTCTTTCTTTCTTTCTTTTTTTTTTCTTTCTTTCTTTCTTTCTTCTTTTTCTTTCTTCCCTTCCCTTTCCTCTTTCCTTTCTTTCCTTCTTCCTTTTTTTCTTCCTCCTTCCTCCCTCCCTCCTTCCCTCCCTCTCTCCCTCCCTCCCTCCCTCCCTTTCTTTCTTTCTTTCTTTCTTTCTTTCTTTCTTTCTTTCTTTCTTTCTTTCTTCTTTCTTTCTCTCCTTCCTTCTCTTCCCTTCCTTCCCCCACCTTTTCTTTCCCTTCCTCTTTCTCCCCTTTCTTCCTTCTCTACCTATTCTTGGACTGCAACTCTCACCTTTCTTCCTTCTTCCCTTCACCCTTTTGTCCTTCCTTCCCTTTCTCCCTCTTTTCTTCCTTTTCTTTCCTTCCCCCCTCCCTTCAATCCTTCCCTTCCTCCCTCCCTCTCATTTTCTCCTTCCTCCTTTCCCTTTTGTCTTTCCCCCTTTTTTCATTCCCTTCCTCCCTCTTGTCTTTCCTCCTCCCTCCCTCCTTCCTTCCCCTTCCCTTCCACCGCTTCCTCCTTCCTTCCCTCCCTTTTGTATTTCCTTCCTTGTTTTTCCTTCCTCCTTACCTCCCTCCCTTTTCTTCCTCCCTTCCTTCTCTTTTTCCTTACTCCTTCCCTTCTGCCCTTCCCTTCCACCTTCCTTTCCCTTCCTTTTGTATTTCCTTCCTCCTTACCTCCCTCCTCCCTTCTATTTTTCCTTCCCCCTTCCCTTCCACCCTTTCCTCCTTCTTTCCTTTCCTTTTGTATTTCCTTCCTTGTCTTTCCTTCCTCCTTACCTCCCATCCTTCTCTTCCCCCCTTCCTTGTTTTTCCTTCCTCCTTCCCTTCCTTACATCCTTCCCTTCCACCCTTTCGTCCTTCCTTCTCTTTTTCCTTACTCTTTCCCTTCCTTTCCCTCCCTTTTGTATTTCTTTCCTCCTTACCTCCCTCCCTCCTATTTCTCCCTTCCTTGTTTTTCCTTCCTCCTTCCCTTCCTTACATCCTTCCCTTACACCCTTTCATCCTCCCTTCCTTCTCGTTTTTCTTACTCCTTCCCTTCCACCCGTCCTTTCCCTCCCTTTTGTATTTCCTTCCTCCTTACCTCCCTCCCATCCTTCTCTTCCTCCCTTCCTTGTTTTTCCTTCCTCCTCCCCTTCCTCACAGATGCAGGCCAAACGTCAAGAGAGAATGCTTCTGAAACATGGCCTTCCAGCCCAAAAAACTCACAACAACAATACTTAAAGCTAATTCTGAGACTACATGTCCCATAATTCCCCTCCTCTCCAGCCATCATGCCAGCTGAGATCTGTGTGAGAGCAGGAAGGCCGTAGTTTCCAGGCACTTATCATAAGTTGTTGAAAGGTTCTTTTGTGTGCTCATTACCCTATATTAGTGGGAACACTGTCCCTTTCTCTGCACAAACTTGGAAAGTTACTTTCAATAACCAATTTGCTAGAGACATACAGTATTCCCTCACTACTTTGCGGTTCGCTTTTTGTGGACTCACTGTTTCGCGGGTTTTTGCCTCCCAGTTTATGAACGGTTGCCGTTGTCCAGAGCGGCTTTGTAATCCCGCTTCCTGGCAAGGATGGAGTGTGGAAGGGGGTTTCACTCTCCCCTTGGGAGAGAGGCAGCCAAGCAAGAGAGATTACAAATTAAAGCAGAGATAGCTAGCAAACAAAAGTGTGCAGTGCCTTTAACTCTCTCCTCGCTTCTGCCTCACCCTCGGAACTCAGTATACATATAGAGCATCCCTACTTTGCGGATTTTCACTTTTTGCAGCTGATCCTGGAATGTAACACCCACAATAAGTGAGAGAACATGGTATTACCAAGGCCCTGAAAGTAGTTAGTTGCAAGGATAGTCACAGCACAAAGGAGAAAAGGAGGAGCATCCATTGGGTAAGCATCCTAGGGCGGAGGGAGAAACCCCCTCCCACACTCCATCATTGCCAGGAGGTGGGATTAGAACGCTGCTTTGGGCGACGGCAACCATTCATAAACTGGGAGGCAAAAACCTGCGAAACAGTGAGTCCGCAAAAAGCGAACCACAAACTAGCAGCATGCCTATCTGCTGAAGTGATTCATCATCACTTCTTGCCTTGTGAATGTTTACATGGCAGCCCCAACTTTAGAAGATCCAACCAGTCCCTCCTCCAGGAAAGAAAGCCCGGCTGCTCACTGGAGGGAAGGAGACTAGAGACAAAGTTAAAACTTGTGCGCCAACTGCGACCGTACCTTGGGAAGTCTGACTTGGCCACAGTAGTCCACGCTCTGGTTACATCCCGTCTTGACTACTGCAACGCTCTCTACGTGGGGTTGCCTTTGAAGACAGCCCGGAAGCTCCAATTAGTCCAACGGGCGGCAGCCATGATACTAACAGGAGCGGGGCGCAGGGAGCATACAACTCCTCTGCTGCACCAGCTCCACTGGCTGCCGATATGCTACCGGGCTCAATTCAAAGTGCTGGTGTTGGCCTTTAAAGCCCTAAACGGTTCTGGCCCAACTTATCTATCCGAACGTATCTCAGCCTATCAGCCCACCAGGACCCTAAGGTCTTCTGGGGAGTCCCTGCTCTCTATCCCGCCGGCTTCACACGTGCGGCTGGCGGGAACGAGAGACAGGGCCTTTTCTGTGGTGGCCCCTCGGCTTTGGAACACCCTCCCCATAGAGGTACGATCAGCCCCCTCGCTGATGGTGTTTCGGAATAGATTGAAGACACGGATGTTTAAACAAGCATTCGGTTAATCCGTTGCAACGAATTTTGTTGACTAAAGGATTGGTAATCATGGACGATGAATTTTGGACTGCGATTCCAGTTATGAGATGCTTGGGATTATTATTGGTGGCCCAATAATTTGTATTGTATATGTGTTTTATGCTTTTAAACTGAATACTGTTTTTTAAATGTTGTAAACCGCAATGAGTCGCCGACTTAGGCTGAGATATTAGCGGTATACAAGCGTATAAATAAATAAATAAATAAATAATTTTTTTAAATTATGACAGGAAAGCCTAGAGAAGGGAATGATGATGGGGAAAGTGGAAGGCAAAAGGAAGAGGGGCCGACCAAGGGCAAGGGGAGGGATGGCATCCTTGAAGTGACTGGATTGACCTTGAAGGAGCTGGGGGTGGTGACGGCCGACAGGGAGCTCTGGCGTGGGCTGGTCCATGAGGTCACGAAGAGTCGGAGATGACTGAACGAATGAACAACAAGTTACTGGGATGTATAGTTCACCTACAATCAAAGAGCATTCTGAACTCTACCAGTGATGGAATTGAACCAAACATGGCACACAGAACTCCCATGACGAACAGAAAATATATCATCATGAGGAGACAGCAAAGCCTAGAGAAGGGAATGATGCTGGGGAAAGTGGAAGGCAAAAGGAAGCTGGTAGCCATGTGTGTTGTTGTTCGTTCGTTCAGTCGTCCCCGACTCTTCGTGACCTCATGGACCAGCCCACCCTGTCGGCCGTCACCACCCCCAGCTCCTTCAAGGTCAGTCCAGTCACTTCAAGGATGCCATCCATCCATCTTGCCCTTGGTCGGCCCCTCTTCCTTTTGCCTTCCACTTTCCCCAGCATCATTCCCTTCTCTAGGCTTTCCTGTCTCCTCATGATGTGGCCAAAGGACTTCAACTTTGTCTCTAGTATCCTTCCCTCCAGTGAGCAGTCGGGCTTTATTTCCTGGAGGATGGACTGGTTGGATCTTCTCGCAGTCCAAGGCACTCTCAGAACTTTCCTCCAACACCACAGTTCAAAAGCATCTCTTCCTTCTCGCAGCCTTACCGAAGGTCCAGCTCTCACATCCGTAGGTGACTACAGGGAATACCATGGCTTGGACTAGGCAATGGATCTTGGTTGCCAGTGTGATGTCTCTACTCTTCACTATTTTATCGAGATTGGACATTGCTCTCTTCCCAAGAAGGAAGCGTCTCCTGATTTCCTGGCCACAGTCTGCGTCTGCAGTCATCTTTGCACCTAGAAATACAAAGTCTGTCACGGCCTCCATGTTTTCTCCCTCTATTTCCAGTTGTCAATCATTCTTGTTGCCATCATCTTGGTTTTTTTGATGTTGAGCTGCAACCCAGCTTTTGCGCTTTCTTCTTTCACCTTGATTAGAAGGCTCCTCAGCTCCTCCTCGCTTTGTGTACAAGACCAGAAATGGGTTGTTGTAGGTTGTTGTAGGGCAACATACAGGGAGCATACATACCCCCCTGCTGTACCAGCTCCACTGGCTGCTGGTCCACCTCGGAGCCCAATTCAAAGTGCTGGTTTTGACCTATAAAGCTCTATACGGTTATGGCCCAGCTTACTTTTCCGAACGCATCCATCCCTATGTCCAACCTCGAAACCTAAGATCATCCAGGGAGGCCCTGCTCTTGCTCCCATCAACAGCACAAATGTGCTTGGCGGGGACGAGAGACAGGGCCTTCTCGGCGGTGGCCCCTGCCTATGGAACACACTCCCAACTGAGGTAAGATCGGCCACCTCTTTCCTAGCTTGGGAGGCATGGTTTTGGGAACAGGCTTTTGGACAATAGATGCAAGCAGCAC